TTGGGCATGCACAGGATGAGTCACATCATTTGAAACTTAGCCCTGATTGGAGAAATTGGAAGTGTTACAACTGACCCACGTTACAACTATCCCCGGTCTCCCCTACTTGTATTGATATTTATGTCATGGTTAATTATTTAGTCCGTAATTATTTGTTAATAACGGACTAAATGTGTTACTGATAAAATCACATTCGCAAGCGCATTGCTTTTATTTTGAATTCGGGACTGAGTTTCTCTTACCAAAATACTTTACATATACACTTAAGGCAAAATAAGGCGGGGCTGCCTTGACTGCGCTTCTGAAAGTGGGTAGGGTCTGTTCACTTCCGACAATTAGCATTCCCTCCCCTTTGACTCAGCAGCCAGTTAAAATATGGATCTAAACACCATGTGATCAAATGCGAGCGCTGAAAACACCACACACCACGGATCGGTGTCTCAGTGTCAGAAGGCATTGAATGGAGTTTTTCTTTAGTAAGGGAAAGTGAAACTTAATTTATCTGGAAGAGAAATGGCGCATCAACTGATTCAGCTGGATCAAGAAAAATTGAGCTGTTCTATCTGTCTGGATCTCCTAAAGGATCCAGTCACTATTCCCTGTGGGCACAGCTACTGCATGAGCTGTATCAAAAACTGCTGGGATGAGAATGAAACACACAGCTGTCCTCAGTGCAGGCAAACTTTCACACCGAGACCTGTCCTGGTGAAAAACACTATGTTTGCTGATTTAGTGGAGGACCTAAAGAAAGCAGGACTTCCAGCTGATTCATCTGGTCATGCCTTTGCTGGACCTGGAGATGTGGCCTGTGACTTCTGTTCTGTGAGGAAGCGGAAAGCCTCCAAGTCCTGCCTGGTGTGTATGGCCTCTTATTGTGAGCAGCACCTCCAGCCTCACTACAACGTAGCTCCATTAAAGAAACACAAACTCATCGATGCCACTTCAAAGCTTCAGGAGAACATCTGCCCTCGCCATGATGAGGTGATGAAGATCTTCTGCTGCACTGATCAACGGTGTATCTGTTATCTCTGCTTAATGAATGAACACAAAAATCATGTCACAGTGTCAGCTGCAGCCGAAAGAGCTAACAAGCAGAAAGATCTAGCAGGGAATCGACAACAAATCAAGAACAGAATCCAAAACAGAGAGACGGATGTGAACCTGCTTCAGCGTGAAGTGGAGGCCATCAGTCTTTCTGCTGATAAAGCCTTAATGGAAAGCGAGAAGATGTTCAAAGACTTAATCTGTCTGATTAAGAAAAAAAGCTCTGAGGTGAAGCAGAAGATCAGATCCAAGAAGAAAACTGAACAGACTCGAGTCAAAGAACTTCAGGAGAAACTAGAGCAGGAGATCAGAGACCTGAGGCAGAAAGACACTGAAGTGGAGCAGCTCTCACTAACAGAGGATCATATCCATTTTCTTAAAAATTTTTCGTCAGTGACACATTTGAATGAATATACAAATTTACCGAGCACCTCCAACCACACTCTGCAGTACTTTCAAGGTGTGATCGCTGCTGTATTACAGGCCGGAAATAAACTGACGAATCTTCTGAGTGATGAATGGACAAAAATTTCACTTGCAGTGAACAAAGCGGACGTGCTACTGCCTCAAGAAGAACCCACAACTAGAGAGGAATTTTTGAAATATTCTTGTGGCATCACTCTTGATCAAAGCACAACAGAAACGTATTTATCACTGAGTGATAATAACCGAAAATTGCATGGAAATCAATCGTATGGAAATTACAGTGAAAACTGGCATGTTTGTAGTAAAGAGGTTCTGACTGGACCTTGTTACTGGGAGGTAAAATGGACTGGTGCAGTGACAGTAGGTGTTACATACATGTATAACTCCTGTTATGGGTCAAAGACTGAACGTGGATTGGGAACAGATCTCGAGTCTTGGGCATTGAAGCTTTCACATGGCAGTTATCAATTAAGACATAAAAACATTTCAACTTCCCTCTCAGGCCCTCAGTCTTTCACAGTTGGAGTGTATTTGGATCACAGAGCAGGTATTCTGTCTTTCTACAGCATCACTGAGACCATGAATCTCCTCCACAGAGTCCAGACCAGGTTCACTAAGCCTCTGTATGCTGGATTTTGGCTTCCACAGGATTCTCAAAACTCTCTTGAATTGTGTGAGTTGAAGGAGACAAGTGTTACTGAATCATGAGAATTCAAGGTCTGCCTACTGCCATTCATTAAAGTGTGAGTGTCCATGGCAGTTGACTTCATGGAGTTAATGTTTTATTTTTTTGTTTATGTTGTTATTTCCCGAACATTGTTTTTCAAGCTACTAAAATATTAACTTACAAGGGTACACTTATGTTTTATTGTTTTGTTGTGACAATAAACACAGAATTATATATATAATGTAGTTTGTAGTGTAATATGAAGTGTAAAGTATTTTCTATTTCATTGTGAATTTTCTTTTTTTTAATTGGTTCACCATAAATTAGAGTAGGTAGGTTTGCTTGTTTCAGTTTATTTTTATTGTTAAATATTTCATGGCAATTCAGTTTTCATTCGTTTTAGTCCTTTTAATTATTTAACAAAACTGAAGGACATCAGAACAGATGTTTTAATAGAAAATATACTTTATGACCTTCCAGCTCTCAAAAAATATTCAGAGCCTCATCAGAAATTTTTAAAAAGCTGATATCAGTAAACTGAAATTATTCTACAAAGCACAGTAGTTTTATATTGTAATATACTTTAATTTGACTATAACCTGCATTTGAACTTATAGTGGAGTTATATTTGTTTAGATTTTGTTTGATTGACTGTACTTTGTACAATAGAATGAGAAATGTGCACTTAATAAAGTTTCTGATTTCACAAAAAATGTCACTGGTTCTTTACCATTTAAAGTAGAAATAGATATATTTATATTTTATATTTTCTTTGTCCACAGTGAAATCAAATGTTTCATTTTTTAATGTGTACAACTATTCAACCATCTTTATTTAAGATAAATGCTTGTAAGAAAAAAAATGTAAAAACCTACAATCTAACCAACTACTTATGTTTTTTATAACTCATCATTCTGCAAGCAACCACTCTGTAGGCAGTTACACAAATGTGTACTACTACATTACTTCTAGAACTAATGAAGTGTTAAATGGTCTACTGAGCAGTGTTTTGTCTTCCATCGGATGCCTCTGAGGAATCAAAAGAACTCAGTGAAGTGTTGATATTTACATGGTAAGATTGGTTAACAGGGCTGTTGGGGATCTGAAGACAACATGATGATGCTTGATGACTTTAGTAGTGTTGATCTTCTGAACTTTTCTTCTGAAAAGTATATGTCTACCAAGGTTTATTGTGAACTTTTACAATAAAACTGTGCACAGTGAGCAGCAAAATAATATGAAAATAAACATATTTTTTCACTGAAGAGAGATTATTATATTAACATGTAAATTGGAGGATGAAACAGTTGGTGACAACTTTACCTTTTTTTATTTCACCAAATATTAATATAGCCATTGTTTATTTTCATTCAACTATAAGAGGATTGGTAGCATTGTATCTTTTGACTGAACAAATTCCAACATTCTAGGGAAAGCTCTGAGACAAATTGTGTATGTACATTAACTGTGCCTTGTGGGACTCTTGTAGAAAAAAACTGAAGATCTCGACTGCTGTTCTGCAGCTTGTAAAAACCATTCTGAAATTGCTGCATATGGCTTTTCATAAATTAAGTTTGGATCAGGTTTTTGTTGTGCACAAAAGCTGTCGTGTCAGAGATGACGGCATTAGAGCAGGTACTCAAAATAGCAACTTGTGGATTACTTAGCTGCTCTAATGCTGGGTTTTGAACACTGGCCATTATGATTATAAATCTCTAGTTGTTTTCTCTTTCTTTCTTTTATTAACCCATTTCTCAATTGTTTATTCCCGTGCTACCAAATTATGGAGGTAAATATTATACATTTTAATTTAAATTAAAATTCTGGAGAAAGAAACATTGCATTTACTACACACTCTGAATTACACAATGTTGAAAAATACAAGTATATCTGATTTGAGAATGAAAAAACAGAAGAAAAAAATGTTTATGTCATTGCTGTGTGCAGGCAGGCAGGGAAAAGGACCCAAGATGCGGACTCACAGAGGCAAGAGTGAAACTCAAAACAAACAGCTTTATTGCCAGTTGCAGATTAAACAGGAGACAACTATACTGGGAAAACAAACTAACGAGCAGGTAAACAGGTTAACAGAACACACAGTGAAGGTTGATTGTACGATGCAACAACGAGCAGGGGAAGACAGAGACACTAAATACAAGAGACGAACAGAACTAAGAGGAAACAGCTGGGAGACAGGGCTGACGCTAATTACACTGACGAGACAGGGGGAGCACAAACAGAACACACTGACAGAAGACACAAACCTTCAAAATAAAACAGGAAATGCACAGACTGGACTCAGAGATGCGGTACAGACAGAACAGAGGGAACACATGGGCAGACACAAAACAGAGGGAGCGCCAAACCTCTTGAGAACCAAAGGGTGTAAACCCAAAAACACAATCAGCATTAACTAAAACAAGATAATAACAAAAACAAAATAATAATATTAAAAAATAAACACAAAACGCTGGGTCAAATGACCCAGTGACAGTTTAAGATGTACAGAATATGGACAGTGTATCTGGAAAGTATTCCCAGTGCCTCAATTGTTCCAAATTTTGTCATGTTACAGATTAAATATAGTAAAGTTATTTGCATACGAATTTATATTTGTGCGAGTTTTTTCTGCTAATGTTACAACAAAATAGTGGTTAAATATAAACTATATAAGAACTGAATGTATCTATAAAAGGTTCATCTCTAACAGGTGCAGGACAGATAAACACATCTCAACAAGTAGCACACAGAAAAAGACAGAGCATCAAATTTCACTATTTTATGTTTATTCTCTTCTTGAGGTCACACACCTCAGCAGTGTGTCCAGCACTTTGTGGAAGCCACAGTCCAACATGGAGAGGCTGAGTGAAGCTGGTCTGGACTCTGTGGAGACGATTCATGGTCTCAGTGATGCTGTAGAAAGAAAGAGTTCCTGCCCTGTGATCCAAATATACTCCTATTCTGGAGGACGGAGGGCCTGGGATGGGAGTGGGAATGTTGTTGTGTTTGAATTCATAACCGCTGCCTGAAACTGTTAATGACCAGGATTTGTCATTCAATCCAAATCCACATTCCTCTCTGGTCCCTCTACGGCCGATATCCTTGTATGCAACAGCTACTCCAACCATCCCGTTGCACTTCACCTCCCAG